TCCCCCTGCCACTGCCCTGCTGCTGCTGCCCAGTATCAGAGCTGCTCCCTGGGAGCCTCCTGCTTGTTGTGCACATGTGGGAGACAGAGGCAGGGGGCACTGATGTCACTGTCCTGTTCCCCTGTATCCCATCTTCCCAGAGTGAGGAGGGTGAGGCTTCGGCAAAGCAGCGGGGCAGAGGTATTTGGGTTTGAGGTAGATCCTGGACTGACTTAAATTCAAAAAGTGATCTCATGCTGAAAAAAAGTTGGAGACCACTGATCTAGTCCTGTAGCACCTTAGGCTATGTGTACACTAAGAAATTATTTCCAAATTACTAAATTCCACTTCATAACTCCCCATTTAACAAATTCAAACTAGCGTGTCCACACTGCCCTGCTGCTGCTGCCCAGTATCAGAGCTGCTCCCTGGGAGCCTCCTGCTTGTTGTGCACATGTGGGAGACAGAGGCAGGGGGCACTGATGTCACTGTCCTGTTCCCCTGTATCCCATCTTCCCAGAGTGAGGAGGGTGAGGCTTCGGCAAAGCAGCGGGGCAGAGGTATTTGGGTTTGAGGTAGATCCTGGACTGACTTAAATTCAAAAAGTGATCTCATGCTGAAAAAAAGTTGGAGACCACTGATCTAGTCCTGTAGCACCTTAGGCTATGTGTACACTGGGAAATTATTTCCAAATTACTAACTTCAACTTCATAACTCCCCATTTAACAAATTCAAACTAGCGTGTCCACACTACAGCTATGTTTACACCGCAACATTGTTTCGAAATAACTAGCGTCATTTCGAAATAACATAGTTCGCGTCTACACAGCTGGCAGTTATTCTGAAATAATGTCGAAATACTTCAAGCTGGAGGACTTCTTACTGCGACTCCTGTAACCCTCATTGTCTGAGGAGTAAGGGAAGTCAGAGGAAAAGTGCTCTATTTCGAAATAAGTGCTGTGTAGACTGCACCAAAACTTGAAATAAGCTATTTTGAAATAAGCTACACAATTGATGTATCTCAATTTGTGTAGCTTATTTCGAGTTAAGCCCTGCTATGTAGACACACCTTATGGGGAAGCCTCAAAAGTAGTCCAGGGTAGGCTCTATTAATGTGGACATGCTACCCTGACCCTGCAGCCCACATGCAAGATGGTTGAGGACCACTAGTGGTCCACAGACCATTCTGAGAACCACTCATCTAGTTGGGAAACATAATTTGTGTGAGGGCTCAGAGTTTACTCCCCTTTCTTTAACACTGCAGGGGACTGGGCGACTGTGGTCCCGATCTGTGCTTTGGTACCACTGCACAAGTGTTGCTTTTTTTTTTTTTAATGGAGCCAGTCATCCTGCAGGTCTTGGTTAGGGTTTCATTAATCTTTTTTGCAGGCCCTTTGTTTAAGTTCCTTCAGCACTTGGCAACAGGGCCTGACCTAATTTCCTCTTTTCTGAGGCAGTCATTCAAGTTTAGGCTTCAGTGACGGGCTAGTCTTTTGTCCTTTCCTCTGACTGCCAGTTTTTCCCCTCTTTGACCTTTCATTCCCTGCACTCTGCTGTAGCCTTCAGACAGGAGAGCAATTCTGAGAAGATAGGGAATTTAAAAGACTCTTCCGCCTGCTGGCTATACTTAATGGAGTCAGTGTTCTGGGCATCAGAGGAAGAAGAGTGATCTTACCAATGACGCAGAAACAAAATTAAGCTATTCTCCAAGTAATAGTGGAAGCAGACCATCTCCTGGAACCCTACAAAACTGTGAGAAGCTCATCTGGACCAGACCGTTGCAGTCAATCCCTATCTTTCTATAAAGGGCTCCTCAAAACCCTAGACCTGTGTGATGCCATTGGATTTTGATATGTCTTTACAGGTCATTGTTGCAGCCACTATTGTACGTTTGCCACAAATGTTTAAGCTGGGCCAAGTATGATGTCTATGTAAATCTTATGGTTTGCTGGTTATGGTTATGCTATTTGTGTGTATGTATCACTTTTGTACTTGAAGATATGGATGTTAGTGGTGTTTCTGTATTTCACACGTTAGCTCACGGAGTAACACCCACACAATAGCTAGCCAGCATGTGTGGGAAAGGCTAGTGAGGTTGATTGGCCCACCAAGAAACATTTAATGAACAATAAAGCATGGAAAGCACCCAACTACACCAAAAGGACTTTCCTGCAAATCTTCAATCTGGAATGTGGGCAGTGGTGTCTACCTGCAAAAAAACAAGTCATGCATGGACATGGGACTTTCTCATGTGGCCCTGAACTCCATCTTGTTGCTGTTCTTTTACACAGTAAGGACAATGGGATTCCCTCCACATGGCTGAGGACATATAAAAGGTCTGGAGACTCCTCCATTTTATCTTCAATTTTACTTTTCACTTCTGGAGGTGTGACGTAGTGGGGGGTGCTGTACGCTCTGGGGTATGCTGTCTACTCTTGTGGCCCTTGGTCCACTCTGGTTGTGCATTCACTGGTTGCTGTGTGTGCTGTGGGTGACCCCTACTGGCTTTTGTCTGTAAGCACTGCCCAGCGGGGGTCACCCCTGACAACAAGCACATAGGCAATGGCCAGCAGCTTCTCACCTGGCCAGGGGAAGGGGTTTAAACAAAGGAAGGGGTGTGGATCTAAGGAAGGGATCTAAGGCTGCCTGCCCCCTTACTCCTATGCCCACATTGAACCTGGGCTGTGCTGTATCTCTGAGAAGCAATAAACCTCCTCTATTGTACTGACTGGCAGAGTCACATCTTGATGCGGACTGGGGTGCAGGGTCAGGGGTCCCCAATGCACTGTCACAGGAGGATTTTTCCTAGGCATTGAAGTGTGGAACAAAGGAATGATGACCCATCCTAACAGATGATGTACTCCAGAGACCTGACTTAAGCCAGCAGATTAATCCATCACTGCTACAAGCTTTTAGGACATAGATATTCTGGCCTCCTGTGAAGGCCTATATAAGAACAAAGCCAAATCAATAAGGAAGGTACATTCCAAACCAATCATTGAAACTTAGTCTCAGAGGGTAGCTGTGTTAGTCTGTAGCTTTAAAAATGTGTAGTCTTGTGGCACCTCAGAGACAAACAAACATATATATATATATATAGTATCATGAGCTTTTATATATCTAAGGTGCCACGGGACTACTCGTAGTTTCTAAAGTTACAGTCTAAGACGGCTACCCCTCGGAGATGAGATAGGACAGTACATCACCCCCAGAAGGTGTGTGGGTTACATTTGCTCCAGCCAAACCTTTTTCTTTACCCCACGGGACACAAGACACACTCTCTATAGGAGCTTGCAGCAGGAGGCTGGACTGTAGAGACAAACAGGAAATGAGGGAAAAAACAAGGACAAAAGCAAAGTAAAAAGGAAAGGAAACTGAACTTGTGCTTGCTGGAAACTAACCCCAATAAACACTGAATTGTTTGCACCTCTGGGCGTTGGATGTTGTTCTCTATTCACATGAGAAGGACCAGCGAAGTGGGAGGGTAAAGGGATAAGTCCTCTAGCACGAGCTAGCACCAAGAACTTTGCAGCTGGTGAATGTAATTTAACAATTGTAACTCTCACTCTTTCTTCTTTTAATAAACCTTTAGGCTACGTCTACACTGGCGCGTTCTCACGCAAAATCTCTTTTGCGGAAGAGTTCTTCTGCAAAAGCTCTTCCAGAAGAGAGCGTTTACATGACATGTGCTTTTGCGCAAGAGCATCCATGCCAGTGTAGACGCTCTCTTGTGCAAGAAAACTCTGATGGCCATTTTAACCATAGGGCTTTCTTGCACAAGAAATTCATGTTGCCTGTCTACACTGGCCTCTTCTGGAAGAGCTCTTGCACAAGAGAGCTTATTCCTGAGTGGGAGCATCAGAATTCTCGCGCAAGAAGCCCTGATTTTATACATTAGAACGTCAGTTTACTTGCTGAAGAACACGCGGCCAGTGTAGACAGGCAGCAAGTTTAGGGGCAAGAGAGGCTGCTTTGTAGACACAGCCTTAGATTTTAGATACTAAAGGATTGGCTGCAGCATGCTTTTTGGGTAAGATCTTAGTTGTAAATTGACCTGGGAATGTGGCTGGTTCTTTGGGATCAGAAGAACCTTGTTATTTGATGAG